TTACATGTTTTTTAGCAAAGAATTTATGCAGTTGTGATTTACCTTGAGTTCATGAATATTAGATAAGGTCAGCTACTATTACTTGCGCAAAGCATAACATGGGCTTAGTACCGTATTGCAATGTTTTTATTATTTTGCTCCCATTTAAGTATTCCCATGCATCTGTAGTGACTCACATTCATCACGAGAACACGACTGGTTTAATAAAAACAATTATTATTATAACCAACTGTACCAGTGTTTGTTTTAATGTGCTTTTATTTGACTGTGCTTATGACAGCTATTTTGTGCTTCCATTCTTATACTTACACTTTGATTGTGACTTCGCGCGAATTCGGTTACGTTCTGTAACCAAGCTTGTATCCTGGCACGATCTCGGTATCCTTTCGATACCACGAGATCGCCAGCAAATATATATCTCGATTTGGTCCATTAATTGCCTTCTGATATTTAGCTTCTCGGAGATTTTATGGGTTTCTTTGGTTACGTTCAACCTACGCCTTCTGATTTATTTGGCACGTGTTTCTTTGTAGCGGTGTTCATATTCAACCGCGACTCGACGCCACGCTACACATCTGTGTCTAGTTTAACAGGAAAACATACAAGCAGAGTTAGTGTCTGATAAACTAAAAGTCCCAGTTGTCAAAAAGATTCTTAACATTTGTCCACAGCCAGCTGCATTTAATTGAGACACAGAACACTCATCTTCTAAGACTGTATACTGCTGTTTTACGGGCAATCTTGATACCGATGTTATTGCTGAAAAAATTGTTTAATGACAGTGATCATGAAATATGGTCAGTGATAGATGTACAGTTTAGAAATAAACACCAAACATACTTATCGCTATCTTATAATGTATGACAGCAACAGCATCAAAGGCACGTTTTTTCCTATTTTTAATCAGACTGATCTGAATTCGTATACACATTGGAAACAGGCAACTCTACTTACTAAACTGATCTGTTTCGTTACAGGCTTCAAGCACTATACTTAAGTATATCATAATTCTTTCAACTAAACTGAATTATACGACAACCAAGAACACTAAACTAAGCAAGTGTCATAGTTATTGTTTCACTTGCAAAGACATGTTGGTCAAAGTAGTTAAATGGACATAATTAAGCCGATAAAACCAAAACACGAAATATAGGCCAGTTGAACTTACCTAAGAAAAAAAGAAGGATACATATATACTGCTTTCATACTGAAGACAACAGGCAGTTGTTCATAGAAACATAGTTTACAGTACAACAAACCTTTCTTCAGTAAAATCATACACTGACAGTCTATCTGGAAACAATCAACTATGTGAATAAACTCACTATGACTGGAGATATCATCCCAGCGTGCAATGGACGTACAGTGTAACGCAGGAGGACGTGGCGAATAAAAATTGAAAACAGAGAAAAGTAACTACATAATCTAGTTATTTAATTAAAAATACATTATGAAATGACAAAATCTGTGGTTACTTGAACGCACAAATGACAGTGTGCGATACATGAAGTTTACATGGTTGCGTTGCGGATAAGGTCACCCGTTTGAGTGTCAGTGAACTTTTGCTTAAATGCACATTCCTTATAAATAATACATCACCTGTTCTTTCTTTTGCAGATAATTTTAAATAACAATAAATTAGCAATTGCAATGGAAATGCAAAACAATCGATGCTGAAGCTTCTGCTCTACTGTTGTACAATAATACGCTTTTCCTTTTAAATAAAATTTTTTTAAAAATATACCAGTTTTCCAGTGAACTGCGGTTTTATTTTGGTCTGTTGTTGAAAATAAAGGCGAACACAGGAGACCTTTGGGGTTATGTCGAGGGATCGAAAATATGGAATTCTGTGTGTATTTAGGCGAAAAGTAGACAATTCGGCGGGTATTTAGGCGAAAAGTGAGCAATTTGGCGGATATTTGGGCGAAAAGTCGACAATTTATCGACAAAGTAGCAAAAAGGGGAAAACCCGCAGTATTTCCCCCGGACATGCGAAAAAGGCGACACTCTGATGCGTCTTCCTCTTTATTTCCCCTTTCTCTTCCAAAGCATTTGCCCCTTTATTTCCCCTTTGTTCGCCTTAATTTCTCCTTTTTTGGTTGTTTGGGATAATAACTGACACTACACTGTATCGTCACTTTTGCTCTGAGGTGGCACATAATCGGTGTTTGCAACCTCATCCTCATAATAATGATTCGGAGTCCTCTTCGTAACTAGTTATCTTTTTTATGTGTTGCACTGGGGTGCATGTGATGATTACGTCAAACAGTTTTTGTCCAGAACAATGTCCTGTCAACTCAGTCCTTAGACATTTCCAGTATATCGTAGGTGCATTCAAGTTTATATACTGCCAAAGATTAGTTTGTAGTGTGGCGTCGAGTCGCGGTTAACTATGATCACCACTATAGGAAGACTACGTGCCAGTTGACCGACAAGATTCTCCGTAGGTCAAATATCAAAAGGCAGTTGATGGCTGTAATCAAGATGCATTTGTTGGCGATCTCGTGGTACCGGAAGAATACCAAGATCGTGCCAAAGGAGTACAAGTGTGGCTACTGAGCGTAACGGAATCTGTGCTAGGTCACAATCAACGGAAGAATGCATATGTTTTGGTACAGTTAAACAAGCAAGTATGGTAAAAAAAATCCCTGGTACAATTGGTTACAATAATAGTTGTTTCCATTACATCAATCGTGTTCTTTTGATAAAAGTAGGTCACTACAAGATCTCACTACTTTACTCGCCCCTAACGAATACTTTTGCCTATGGGCTTTCGATCGTATTTCTCTATAACCTACATAAATGCACATCTCTATATAAATAGTTTAGTAGTTTCCGTATTCATTTAATCCTAATACATAAATACCTTCCTTCTTGTTTATTTTATGGGTGTCGTAACCGAAGGATATGAATGACAGAATTATGCGGTTTTGGTTATGCAACGAAATCTCTTATTCCCAAGTGAATTATCATTCTACGATTTCGCAAATAAGGTAATGTTTTTAAATCTTCAACTAGATTATAATAAAACAAACTTTTTCAACAAAACTTCATCGTCATGAAATTCTTTTGCTGTAATTTTGACAATTGATTACTGTTAAATGGTTCATTTTAACGCATCATTCGTTTGAATGGTTGGACTCGAATTCAGGCTTTCCCGTCAGTTTGTAAGATAAATTTGACAGGATGCTCTGTAAAGAGTTAAACAATTAGCTCGAACTTTCCAAAATAGAGCCTTTGACGGTCACATGGCTCATCCAGGGAAAAGACTCTAAGCATCAAAATCATCGAACACTACTTCGTGTACCGCTCGCTAAAGCTACCGACGTTGAGGATATCCTACATGCTAGTTTTTTACTGAAAGCAGATGGGAATGTAAGACGACTGCCTGATGTACCGTGTTCTGAGCTCAATCTCATCCTCAACATCTTTATAGAGTCCTTAATATGCGACGGTATACAAGACTATTTATTACCGTTAAACTTTTCAGCCCAACAGCATGATTTCAGGTGGGGTCATTTTCGTATAACCGACCTGCTGGTTCCGGTGGACAGATGGACAACTATCACTGATCGCAAGGGAAAGGCTGATGTCGTTTACCTTGATCCCTCAAAGTTTTTTGATAGCGTCAGCCATATATGTTATATTAATAAGCTCATACTTTTAGGTATCAAATTACCTTTAATTGATTGACTCACTTCATATATAAAAAAATCGACATTTTAAGGTCAGAGTTAACTTCACTTGCTCTCAGGCTATGGAAATCCGTAGTGGATTCCCGCAGGGTTTATTAATAGGACCTCTTCTTTTCTTAATTTATATAAGCTATATTCTATAACAAGCATCATCAGACTTATTTTTGCGGATAATGTGAAACTCTGGAGAGAGCTACGCAACCAAGAGGATATACTGGCAATTCAAGAGGATCTGACTCGACTTCAAAGTTGGGCAGACGACACTGAACTGACCTTTAACACCTCAAAGTGTAAATTAGTCCATCTGAGATATTTTGAAGACTACATCTACAACTTAGGCAACTCCCCTCTAAGAATATCTTGAGTTGAAAAAGATTTAGGAGTCCTGGTACCTTATGATTTGAAGTCTTGCGCCAACTGTGTCAAAAATGCCTTTCGAGCAAACCTTGCACTGGTAACATTGAAGCGCATTTCGGTCCAGTTTGACAAAAGAACTTTCCACATAATCTTCAACAGTTTTATTCGTCCCCATTTAGAGTACAGAAACATAGTATTTCCTCCCTTACTCCAAAAGAATAAGGACACTCTAGAAAGTGGCCAACGGTTAGCCACCGAATCGGCTTGGAGATTCAAATTCAAGCCTTATGAAGAGCGCCTCATATCACCAAACGTTTTCCCATTCAAAAACAGGCGTTTTAAAGGTGACCTGATAAATTACAGCATCCCTGACTCCTTTGGACTTCTTGCTAAACACTTAATTTAGTTTATTTCCGATACGAACCTAATCGGTAACATTATAGTGAAATGTATATTGAGTAATTTTTTGTTACGACAAAATAAAAACCACCACAACACTCAGAACCTGAAGAAACGACTGAACAGAATGAACTGTGTGCACAGCGTCTATTTCTTAAGGGTAATCATACGCTGGAATTATCCATCGGTTGAGCTAGTCCAAGTGAGTTGCCAGGAGTCCTTGAAGAGAAAGTTCGACATTTCCTTAAGGACTTTGATAGTATCTTACTGTGATTTACCATGTTCCAGGTCTCTACCTGGAGGTATAGGTTATCCACTGATACTGGACACGGAATCCCGTTAAGCCAAAGCTTCTTTTCCATCCAAAACCTTTTGAACCATATATATATATATATATATACATTTATATATATATACTAAGCTAAATGTTTGTTCAATTTTAAATACATATACTCTCAACTGTTAGAATCTAAGACTTACGTTTACTGTATACAAAAAATAAATTGGAGAAATTCTCATATTTTGTACTTAGTCTCATTATTCTTCTTGTTTTACTGGACCCTGAGTTCGGTTTCTGTTTCACATTACACCTGGTTGTGGGATGTCGTCGATCGTGTATTTCAAGTTCAAAGCAAATGTGAAAACAGACTCTGTTTCGTTTGATGGATCTTCTATTTCTGTGAAAGATCTTAAAAATGCCATTCGAACAAAGTGTTGTTTGTATTCGACTGATTTTGATCTCAAACTAGAAGACACTAATGGGAAAGGTAACTAGGTTTTATTATTCAACTTCGTTCAGTCTATTCCAAAGATGATGAATTAATTCCGAAGTACTCAAGTATTGTGGTGCGACGTGTCCCACGTTTAGTTGCAGAAATTCAAAAAAAGAAACAAATGTAAGTACATTGGCTATGTGGTTAATCGTTAACCTATTACAGGGGTCCAGATGATGTAACGTGGAGAGAGTTGCAAAAGAATGTAAGTTGTTTTTCTAAGATTGTTTTCTGTCGTTTTGGTCATAACAGTATGAGGTTGATCGCTGACTTACTGGTTCCTAGGAAGTTTGTGTAGTCATAGATATTTTCGTACTACTGTGTAGGTATCCTTGCGAGTCTTATCACTGGTAAAATATGTTTTACTTTGGTTGACTAAGGTTTTGATCATAAGAATTTTCAAGGTACTCTCGGATTTTCCAGTCTAGAAACTTGTCGGTAATCTGGAAGGTTAATTAACTGTTGTGTTTAATGTGTCAGTATAAATTAGGTCCCCTCTACCTTCTATTTTTTGGTCTGAAGTGAAGTCATTAGGTATTAGCCAACCTTATCCGATTTGAATACCGTTTGTGCGGCAACAGTCTAATTTTCCAATCACAAAGTATCCTGAGATCATTGTAACTAACCTAAAAATCTATCTTAATTAGTAGTGGGTTTCATACACCAGTCTGGGTGCCAACTGTTAGGAGGTTGGAGTGTTGACTTTCGATGGAGTCAATTTGTTCGATTTTGTTTCCGAAATTACGGACTATTAACACTGATTTATCTGTATGCAGCCCATGTAATGTTATTTTCAAATAAAATATTGCTATTATCATTGTTATTGTTGTATTGTAACGTTTTGCAGTTAAAAGTTCACGGATCTTCATGTGATGTTTTCTGCAGTCAATCAAACTCGAGTTTCTTATAGTTAATCAAATAGGTCTCGAAAAGTCTTGTAAAAATCTCAATCTTCGATACTTCATTAATTCCTGTTTTGTGTTTCGGCAAACCACAAAATTGTTACTAGATGTCCTGTGTTTTGTAATACGGATATTTCGTCTCGCTCTACGGCAGCTTAGGTCAACGGACATATGTACTATGCTCTATGTTGGTATCGACTGATAGTTATGTGCATCCAGGGTTATGTATTAGTGTGAATTCAAAATGCTTGTTATCTTGTGGATATCATCATGACACTACCGGACGATTACTTGTTCGTAGTGTACCGATTTTTAATCGTTTAGAATTGTTTCTTAAAACTGACCCACTGACGCATAGCTTTTGTCGCACTCTGCATTACATTTTAACTTTTTAAATAGCCATTGCAGAGTTTCTCTGTCCTCAACTCTCGTATGTACTTGCTGTTCGTCATATCCCTAAACTTATTCTCTAAGTAACTTTTCCATTACATGGTTTGATATCTACCGGATGATTCATTTTGACTTATGTGATCCAAAATTTAGTATATTGCTTCACTTTCTAAATAAACAAACCCTTAATTGGTATAACTAAAATTAGTCAAGTCTATTACACGATATCTCAGTATACACGTACGTATCTTATTCCATTGTTTATATTTTACTTAGGTTTCACTACCGAATTAAAGAAATAAGTCTGTTTAGTTGGTGAACGTAGTAAATTTTGTGGTTGTTTGTAGAACAGTGTATTAGATCATGCTCATAAAATAACTGTGGGGTTTATGTTAATAAGCTTCACCACGGTTTCACCTGCTCATACGATTAATCCATTTACTGTAATTGATATGTCGATCAACTACATGGGATTCGGAATAAAGCTAAATTGATATTTTAAATCTTACTGACTCAATGGTATATCCGGTTAGCCTGAGCTATGTGATCGAACCGGTGAGGGAAAATCTAAGTAATAGGATAAATGTCAGGTTCGCCTCATAACTATAAGACCCAAAGGATGATTTGCTGTTATCAAGGCTGATATTTTTCAGCTGTCGAGATTCCGCATTACTTTAATAGGTCTTTATTATTATTTAAACACAAACATTTGTACAAGGAGGCCTCATCTAGATATGCGCCACATAAATCATTCGATTCGTGTGAGGACTTGGAAACTGCCCGGGTGTACAGATCGAAGCAGGTCTTTATGTAGAACAAAATAGTTTTCGTTCTCCCGAGTTATTTATTACAACTGATGTATTATGCTACAACATTAGATCTAAAGTCACTGGTTTGGCATAGACGTTTTCCAATCCGAATAGCAGACGAGCGGATAGACAACAAAGAAGGGGCTGTACTGTACAACGAAACTTTGTTTTTACCGTGTGTAGGAAGGAACAAAGTGCATCACAGATGCCTACTAAAAAAATTGTTGTGTGCGTTATAAACTTTAAATAGTCAGTTTTATTATTCGGCATAACGTGGGACACAAGAAAATCCAATGGACAAGATCATGAGATTGTATGGACTGATATACTTTAATCATCCTTACATTTAGATAAAACTGCGACATAGCCGGACCTGCAGTGTTACCTGGATTTAATTTAATGGACCATGTATTAGTCTAACCAAACTAAAACGTAATATGTACACGGTCAGTGTCGGTTTGTGCAATGCAGTTGAGTATAACTTCCCGCCTTAAAACTCACTTGACGATCTAAGACTAACTGGCCAATATGGTATTATGAGCCTGTTCACTCTAGGTTTCAAGTCCCGTTTTGTAGATACACTAATTGTGGAAAATGTATGTGGTATGCAAGTCACATTCGTAGCCCTTCATGTCTACAGTCAGAAATCTAAGTTGTAAAAAATTAGGAAAAACCCAATCCCAACTGGAGGGTAGAGATAATAGAACATCATTAACTTAATTTACTAAAGTGAAGTGTGTTTGAAGTTAATTACGGACTTCCGGATATTTTATTAATTCTTAGTAATCCGGTGGAGTAATATTTTGTACACAAGACAACTAACAAGGACGGAAATCAGTATCCTGTGGTAGCTAACTACACTAAAAAGTTTGGTCTTACCACAGTTCCGACTTACGATGTTTATCTTCCGTAGTAGTAGTAGTAGTAGTAGCGGCCTTTGTATCTGATTAAAACACTAACTGAGCAACTAATCTTTATCTGCTTTCAGTTAATAAATTAGTATATCAGGCACGCAGTGGGACTAGGAAATGCGAGGAAGGTCGGCGTTCATGAAAAGTTTAATTGGCTAGTGCTAACCTGGACCGTCTTTGTAATAATATGACTTTAAAAATCTGGATATATAGCTCATCTTCGGCAGCAGTTCCGTCACTTCCCTTATAAAATCTGGCCCGTTTGAGTTTATAATTTTGGGAGACTGGTCGTAGTTATCTCCGAACGATTACTTTCGCCGGGTAAGTGTAAGGAATATGAGGGTCATCTATATGTGATTAGCCGTAGTGACGGCGGTTTAATTCATGCCACCATTGTGAAGCACCAGATTCAGTGCCCTGAACCTGTTTTAGAAATGTCACAATGGCGTCCATTTTGCCTGTGATTTACCTGTGCTGGAACAAGAAGTTGTTTGCATGGCGTCAAAACATGACCGACATCAAGACCCGGCGTCTGATCACCTCTTCCAGGTTCGAGATGTATAAGTCGTGCAACTCAACAGCTTGAGGTACGCTCAGGCATGGTCCGTAGTGGAATTAAGCTGTCTACTGTAATTTCTCACTACATTGATAGAAATAAAATGAAGGCTAACCATAATGATCGTAATTCTGATCAGACCTTAATTAAATACTTTTTCGTGTATTTATTTTCATCTCAATCTCTCACTACATGTCACTTTGTGAGGCTCATTATTTTTATGCCTCGTACCATAATCCTTGTCATGAATGAATAAATAATCAGAATTCTTCTTATATTACTCGTCGAGGAGTAATGCCACTAGACCTTGTAACTATCAGTCGCTACCACATTTAATAAAAACTCACTTCATCTAAATAGTTAAATGTAGTTCCAAGATGACTTCAATTTTCACTGAGTAGTGGAATAACGGTATATGTCTGAGCAGTTACAAGGAAATTAATTAGCCTTAATCTGCGTGGTATTAAATAATGCCCTTCAGCTTAGTTAACTTTACGCATGCCCTACTACATTTTACTGATGTCAGTGGAGAATAACCGAGCTAGTATTTGTATTGTAGTGTTACGAAGGAGTTACCTTTTTCAAAAGTGCTACAATTTGATTTACCAATGTAGGCCTAGCAAGATTATCGATGGACATTTTATGGGATCATTTTGTTAGAAGTCAATAATATTCCCTCGGTTGAGCCGTAGATAATGGCTCTATTAGGACCTAGCTGCTGAGCGCTTTGTTAATTATCCTGACCTATAGCGTCTAATATTTAACAAATTTTGAACTAGATTCTTTAAATTTGGTTAGTATCCATAAATACAAAAAGTCAGTAAACTTGGCAGTCAGTCAATCATAATCACCTTCAGCCTGGGTCGTCATAACAATCGTCTGGGATGGCATTAGCAGGACAAATATCAAGAGTAAGGTAATAGTAACACCATTAATTGTTAGAAACGTATACAGAGTACTGTTGGGAAAGAGTTGATTCGAGAAATAAAAATGCACGACGCAGTACATAAGCTGAATACTTGACAGAAATCAATACCTTGCACCTCTGATAGGTTCTTAGTTGTGTCGTGTAGCGTCTTAATCATGAACAAGGGTATTTTTATTGGTGTTAGAGGTCTGAGGGCAGCTAGAGGAAACTGGATTATTGTTGAGCGTACCGACTTGAGGGTATGATTGAAGAGCCAAAGAGACAACTGCTTAAAGCATTCGGCCTTTGTGGAAACTTTGTAATATGTTGGCCTCGTATCTCAGAAGGGCTTACCGACGTAAACAATCTGTGGGATGAGGTGAAGTGTTACACCTTTAAGTCCAACCTCTAATTTCTTAGTTTGTGGGCGGACCTCACTGCAGATACCAGTTGTTTGAGGGGAAGGCTCTATTGCTGTTAAACCTCACTATAATGAACAGTACGAGCTCGCTGTCGGACTATAAATTTTCTGCTTTAAGTCTTATCGTCCTCCAACAGACCTGCCTGGTATGGCAGAGTCTGAAGAAACAAGTATTTCAATCAGTATTGCTCGACTGGATCATCGCGAACGGTAAACTCGATCACCATAGCAAAGTAGCAGCTATGGTCGGGAGGAGTCTATTAAACTACAGTTCGCTCCGTTATACTGAGTAGTTGAAAACGTGGACTTTAAAAATAGGGGATGTTGTTAGTTTACTAGTATTCGATCATCGGTGTCTACAAAACATCATTCGTGTATTTTGAAACCTTCAAATTAGCAGTTCTGAGGTTAGATGTAGTGTACCAACCAAGTGTGACACTTAGGACGTAGTGAATCCTTATCGACTGCTATGGTTAGATGTATTCGTATGCTCATCCACTGATTACATTGAGGCTGCCGCTACCTTGACGTTATGGTCGGGCTTTTCTATCGTGATGAACCGATCGAGCTATACTGATTGGAACAATTGTTCCCCAAGGTCATACCATTCTAGGCACGTCGGTTGAAGAGCGGTAAGACTAAAGCCAACAAACTCTAGGTCCGAAAGTGAAGTCGCACTGCTGACTGTACAGAAATGTAACTGCAGTTAAGGGTTTCCCTCGGACAACCAGCATGACGGCGATGAGCCTTCCCGCAAGAGAAGGGTGTGTTTGGAAAAAGTCGACCCTGAAATTGCACACTTCGCCTCATCCCACGGATGTCCGTCTCTGGTATTAATATCTCAACAAATACAGTGCTAACACAAAAAGGTCATGTGTGATCGCCTTAAGCAGTTATCCCTTGGACACTCAGGTCACTAAGACCAACTCAGGTACCTTTAGAGGGACCCTTCTACAATATGGGCAACTGGGGATTGCCAAGCACCCTCATACCTCTAACAGCATTAATGATTGATGATGGCTGGTTTAGGAGTAGACTAGAAATATTAGAATGATCAAACCAAATATGACATCAGTCCGTAACGAAACTAACTTTTGGATTGAGACATATAAGAGGATAGTGGTGATTGTGTGGACCGCAACCATCTTGTCTGTATTTACCGACACGGTTCAGTCCAAGTTTTCTCCAAGCTTCCTACTCCTCACTCAACATAGCGTTTCAAGGTATGAGTTAGTTGCAGTACGTTATACACATTCCGGCCACATCAGTTTGTTGAAGGTTCACTATTTTTCAATAGTTTTGGGACATTTGACTTGTACCGCACGCCTGATTTCGGTCAGTACCGAGCTTCTAAGATAAGTTTTATGAGCAGAAACTAAGTGGATGTAAGTATATGGATTACAATTGTTAATAGTTCATTTTGTCGGTTTATTCCATTCTCATTACCCCATTTTCCCATGTTAAAGCAAGATGTATATTACAGTAATAGCATTCTTTGTTTGCATGTAGCGTATGCATATCAGTTTCCCAATTCCTTGTGGTCTTGACGAGCAAAATGAATATCCCGAAATCCAGATGTACTCAAGTCTTAAATATTGTCAAGTAAATAGATATTGTATATGATATGCCATCCAAAAAGTGCCTGAAGTAAATTAATCACATTCAGTCCGTATTCGGCTTTTCGTTGTTTCCGTTGCACAAACGAGGTTAATCTAGGTGTAATATGTGGAGTTAAGTGAGATTTATATTGATGGCACATTCATACATTCTTTCAGATCGGAGTCAGGTCAACGAGTAAAAAAACTGGGAAGGAGGTCTCTCCAGAAGTCAAATACGTGTTGAATTGTATGGGTTTGTTTCAGACATTCGTTTATTTAGACAAACATTATGAATGAGAAGCGAGTAAGTGAAGCGGGGTTGTCAAGTGTGTCAATTCAATTTGGCGAAGCGTGACTCAGTATTTATGGCCCGACAAAAATAGTCTGAAGGCATGTGATGATTAGGAAAAGCGATACACATACTCTCATAAAAACAGTCAAGGTTAATACAGGAATAACTGACGAGATCAAAATGTGGCTCCAGAAGGATGAATAAGTTGGTCTGTCTGGAAGCTAGAATAACCCGTGTGTGCTTGGCATAGTACTAGACCTTATAATGTAAGTCGTTTGAACTGTGTGTGATCGTGGCCGGTGGGATCGTAGATGAGCTAAAAAATGAGCTTGTGTAGAAAAATTTGTTCTAATCCCTAGCTTAACATTTTTTTCACATTTGTTGGATTTAATATTTCTTTTTGTTTTACAGCATACTGCCGCATCCGAAACATCACATGGTTCTAAAGTATGTTTCCATAATCATGCTTATCTTTTTAGCTTATCAATTTAGCGGATTCTGACCTTTCTGAAGAAGAGAAAATCAAACTAATGATGGAGAGATCCTCAGAGACTTACTCAGAGACCAAGTAATCAATTGTATTTTACTGAACTCTGCTTTAGTTTTGCTGTACGAGCCAAGCCATATGGGGTCCCTCCGGCTGCTTATGTTTGTCACAAATGTAATCAGCCAGGACATTGGATTCACAATTGTCCTGGGGTACGTGATAAGACCGGGAAAGTAATGGATGCCAAGTCAATCAAAAGGCCGACAGGTATTCCACAGGACTTTCTTCTGGAAGTTGCAGCTGGAACTCCAGGTGCATATTTAGGAAAATCCGGGAAGTACATGGTGCCTATTAAAGACGCGTAAATCAGTTGTTTTTGTAATGAAAATCTATTTTAGTGAGGCATATGCCCAGGGCAAAAAGGATAAAAGGCCGTTTTCTGTTGAAGAAAACCCTCCATACGTTCCTCAGGAAAGAAATCCTCCGAAGCAACTTGTGTGTCCGTTGTGTAATAAGCTATTCAGCGATGCAGTTTTAGTATCCTGTTGTGGAACAACCTATTGTAACGAGTGCATCATGGGTCATGTTTTTGATTCTCAAGTTCTGGGTTCCCATAAGTGTCCTAACTGTGATGCGGTGCTGACAGACCATGAGTCAAGTGTCTTTGAAAATGCTCTTGTGCGAAGTTTGATTCGTGACTGGCTTGCCGATGAATCTAAAATAGTGGATCCAGAAGTAGTTATCCCTGGAGATATATCAAAGTTCAATGAAAACGATACGGTAAGATATTTTTATTTTAACCTTTCCCTACTTTTAGACATTCGTTAACTGTCGCCGCGTTCTGAAACCAAAACAAGCAACGGCCAACATCCCTACACTCAAACTTGGAAGTACAACTGCAGTGGAATCAAATCAAGTTCAGAATTCACTGAAGATGCAACCAATTGTTTCAGAATCTAATTCTATTGTTAAAAATGAACATACTGATTTACTTTTGAACTTACCCTCTGAAACACCCCAGAGCACAAACTCTGTGACATTTTCTACTCTTTCATCTTTTGATTATGTTCGTGTTTCTGAAATGACTACTTCTGTTGTAACGAACAATACAAATGCTACTGTGGTCACAAGTTCTCCTTGTACCACTATGGTGGGAAATAACAGACAGAATCTGTTACCCACCACTTGTCTTTCAAACACACAAATTCCTTGTTTGAGTTATACTAGTTCTACTGCTGTAATGCCTACTTTACTCCCAGGTGTTAATGGTGGTGGTAATCCTCTTCTTAATGCGCTTTATAGTATACGGTTAGATGACTTACAGGCTCCATTGGTTGCTCCCTCTACTATTTTGCCAGCCACTTACGGATCGCTTGTTGGCGATCCTGAGTGGACAGCTGAGACAGCTTTGGCTGCGTCAGCAGCTCAGAGTGCAGGTCTAGTTGATCCAGTAATACAAGTCAATAATAATCAGGTCGCCTTCGGGCTAGTCCCTGGGCAGTCTATCCCTGGCACGATGCACACAGCTTTATCCGCACCTGTTGAAACACTAAATGGACACAAAATGCTTTCAAAAGAAGAGTTCTATCGGTTGAAAATGGAAGTTCTCCATTCAGCTCGTAGAAGGTAAACCAATTTAAATCTACTCAAATGCGATCGTTTATTTATTTAGGTTGTCATGCCGTCCTCTTTCTTTAATAGTTGAATCTCTTGACTTAAGGCATCACCAGATCCGTTCATATCATGGGTTTTTGTAGCAAAGTATTCATTTTATGGGTAATCGAAGTACCGATCTTCTTCTGAAAGAATGTATAATTTAATTCATTATGTCTCAAATACCAAGTGTAGACTGAGGAGTTTCTGTCGTTTCTCGAACTTAACCTTAAGTAATTAATCTATTCGAAAGATTTATTTGCGTTTCAGTATGGAGGTAGTTTGTAATCATTCACAATTTAGGATAGTGAATATTCTGGGTAGAAATACTGCCCCATGAAAAGACAGCTACGTGGTTCAGCTGTCTTGTTTGTTTGACCTCAATTTACCTCCAAGTCTGCGCTAGGCTCAAAATAAGGTCTTTCACATCCGAAGTAAATGCATGTATTAGCAGTTATATAAAAATGTAAAGGTCACACGTTCATGGTTGTGAATTCTCTTCAAATTGAAGTTTACTTTTTAGGGCTTAATTGAGGCTCCAACTTTTACGTTCAGCGTAGATAGTATTCAAGCTAAGTGTTTTGACTTTTTGAAGCTTCTGTTGGTGTTTAATATATACTTTCATATTTCATTTGAATGTTGCTCAGTTTTATGTCTGTACGACCGTATGTGTTGGCTGTTGTTCATTTGTTTGCCTTTGTTTCCATTTCTCCAGTAATATGTATATATGTAAATGCTGTTATCTTGTTTTATTATGGTGTGCATTCCACTACATTCAACGGGTCCACCTAACAGCATGGTTGCCTTTTCTCTGCGTTATTCAGTATCTTATTAAAAAATTTGATTTATAGGCATCGTCACCGCACCCATTCACGTAGTCCTGGTTATGTACATCGAGCCGAACGAATTTATGGAGATTCTTCGCACCATCGACGTGGTTATGATAGAGAAGAGCGAGAGAAACGACCTCGATACTATTCACCTGTTAATTACGAGAGTGAACGTAGTCGTTGCCGACACCGTTACGCTGATGAATATGAATCTCATCGTGACAGAAGTGGGACTCACCGTCATCACTACCGCCCTACTTTCTTTCAAGATTTTGACGACCGGAGACGTCATTATTCACGAGGCCATCAGCACAGTCCCGAACACCGGTCCAGGAGGTCACCAAGACAGTCACCATCAAGTAAAGATGATTGGTATGGGTACAAAGGTCGGGGATGTAGCCTTTCTCCCATCACACATGAACCCTCAGATCCACGCAGATGTCGGGAACCACATGTTGGTAGTGGACATTATGATGAGTTTCTCGGTAGACGTAAAAGAAGGTAAGTCACGTTTTACGTTTTCCTAGATTAGTCATTCAGGGTCTCTAACCATCTGTTGCTATCATATCGCCGTCCTAAACCAGGTAGTCTACACCTACCAACATGGCTCAGTTCACTTTTCAGTGACTTCATGGACTTGTGCCATGTTTTGGTCTGGCCGCCCCTAGCTTTCTTCCAATTTACTCTTATACCATTGAACATCGTCAGTTGAGGCAGTCGGAGAAATTTAAACCAAAACGTAACATCAGTTCATGGGACCATAGACTGCTGGACTGATTTATGCAGGTTGATGTACGTTACTTGATTGGGGTCCGCATGTCGTTAGGACCTTTTAGTGAAATGGCTCGAAATCGTTCACAATGATGCAGGTGCATCCACCCTTAATCTTCCTTTAGTCTCTGAGTCTCAAAATCTCGTCTTTCTCGTTTCTTTAGTTTTACACCTAATCTTTTCTACTACTACCGATATTGTTTCTGCATCTACTACTATGAAAATTTGTCTTAATAATTTTATCGCTGTGATAATTTGATGTCGCAGCTTAACCCAGTTCTCATGTGTGAGTTTCTACGCTACTGATGATCACTGCCGGGAAGTAAAAACTACGTTTGTACCTTTGACACCACCCGAGATCACCTTTTCCACTCCCGTAATTAACCCACAATTATTTGCAGAGTAATGGTATAGCGTTTAAAGCTTCCGACTCTCCGCCGTCAAGTCAAATTCTATCCGGGCTCCAACTATTTCTTTTTGAACGACAGGATTATATCATTAACACTTACAATTTAAGCTCGACTCATACCTAAGAATCTAGTGAGCAAGCTAGCTTTTTTTATTTTATCGTCGGCCATCACCCTTGCTAATGATTCAAGTCCACGAAAAGTCATTCCTGGTTTCCTGAAACCGATCTCTAAGCTACATTTTAAAACTCAATGTTCGAACTTCGTGTCAAATCGAAAAAGTTTTCTTTATTTAGTACTGGGATTTCATGCTTGTAACATACGCTCTGTCTCCCTTACCAATCAGAATTCTAGTTTTAATTCCGTTTACTCTGTCTACTATTTCTTGTATAGCATTATGTTCCAGAATTGAGCATTGTACGCCTGAGCAGTATCGTTGACCCTATGTCGACACAGCCAAGCTCCTATTAGTCTGCTGTTTGCAAGCTTTTCTCTGAGTCCAAAGAGTCAACAGCCAACTTCTATTATTGCATTCTAGAGATACGTAGGTTTATATACAATTTTGCATAAACGAGCTGAAAGCGTCTGTGAACAGAGCAATCTGGGAAATATAGATTGACATTAAAATAGGATTAATAAGTAGCATACAGATAGTTGGTTAAACGGAAGCTTACATAGTAATCCAGTTACTTATTGATTCTACAACAAATTAAATATTAAAAATCCGAAAACCAATTCAAGCTTTTACGATACTCATTCCGTTATGACATAAAGAAAGACATGATCGACCTAACGACAATCCACCAATCATCGTGAAAGAGACTCAATGAAGGACTCACTCATTTTGAAGCAGATATTTAGTTTCTGATTATTCTCTAGTTACTCACTACCTGTAAACAACCTGGATGAAAAATTAACACAAGTCTTCCACACTTTTTGAGGTTGAGCAGACCAAAGCGAGGGAGAGCAGCTGTTCCTGACGGATAACCCGTCTGATCGTTAAAAACAATTATCTTGTATTAGTAGTTAAGTTGGCTAAGATACTAACTAGTATTTGGGAACTTCGCATCTGACTGATCTCGGAGGCTGATCATTCCAATTTTTAAAGCAACACTTCAATTTGTTGGTCAAGAGATTCTGTGGCAATGTCTGTCATCGAAAGGTATACCAAAGAAGTGCATCTACCTTGAACAAGCTCTCTATTCGTTGCCGGCTTCATTTATCTTGATATTCTCATCAGTCCTGATAGATCTCGTCACCAGTTAGCAGAACTCGATTGGTTTTTGCCAATTCGTATCACTTGTGACGTATATGAGATGTCCATCTACCAAGTAAAGGGTTTGGATACCGTCCAATATTGCACTCTGTTCTACTTTGTGGGTGTGAAACACCGCCACTGTAATAGAGAATATTCGTTGGTTACTAGTATTCGACCATAAATATTTTTTGAGGAGTTTAGTTGTGTGAGCTGAACGATTTTATTGTGGAGCTTTGACTGTTCTTCTGAATAACGTCATCTCCACGACCAAACCATTTAGCTTAGAGGACGGAACAACCAAAATTATCCACCTAAGCAACGAACCTTCACCGTCTCAAAAATTATTGGTGTCTTTGATGCATTGCTCGTGTATTTTGGGACCAACGATCAGGAAGTGTTTGGGTTCGAAAATGGAGACTGAGTAAAGAAGGAAAATCGATCGATGACCTAGTCAATCTGGATTGACTGAAATTGTTATAGCGTTCATTACGTATGCCTGATTACTGTTTACTCCCTCATCTTTTCTATTTCTTCTGGCGGTGGACTTGATGATGCAAAACTCCACACCTGGGCAGAGGCACAGAATAAAATGGACAGGTTTTGGACTTCGCTGATGACCTAATACTAGCTGAAACTTAGAGGACCACTACAACCATAATCGAGAACGTACAATTAATCACAGACAAATATCTACATGAGATGCTCCAGATTCGTTGGCCGGATAACATCAGCGACCACCTACTGTGAGAGAGAACAAACCAGTTTCGAACTGAAGAGTAAATTAGGAAATGACGTTGTAAGTGGTTAGGACATACATTGAGGAGGATTCACGACGCAAGCCCAAACTTGTTATGTTGAAGGGAAAATGAGGAGTGAAAGACTACTTAACACATTCGTCGGTAATGGGAGGTAGACATGAGTAGGATGAATAGCAGCTGGAGAGGAGAGCCCATGAGCGAGTTTGATGGAGAATGCTGGTTGGTGGTCTATGGTCCTGGACGAGTGGTAGGAGGTGTAAGTAGGTATAAGACAGAAGAGGTTGGTCATATGCGAACTCCAAATCATCTAGTCGCATTCAAGCTGTCCATTGTATTCCATACTTTCTCACTCTGCTTTTCCGAACCCTAACCTCAATGTTTAGTTTCTTACATCGTTCCGGTCTCTTACTATACGTCTTGTTTATTTCACATTGTCGTGTTAGTTCTGTATAACAAAGTTGTGCGAGCTCATATGTTTTGGGTTCTATCTTGGAGATGACGCACTAACAGTAATTTAGAGTTTGCTTTGTTTTACAGTATTTTCCAACCTCCACCATCAATCCCTTGAGATAATAAATTACTCTGAAAATTTAGCTTCCTATAAGCAGTGAGAACCATCACAGTATATCAGTCTTGTGTCTTCATTCAACCTCTCTTGTAGAGAATATATCTCTGATAGCGCTATTTAGTGGTATATCTGTGTTGATGTGTGTTAACTATTTCTTGATACTGCGAAAACTTGATATGAGTTGTCCACTCTCCCTCATTATAAGGAATCAGATATAGACTGTATTTGATTTCTTTTTTCTGTTCACGTTGAACTCGGTAAAGTCTTATGTTACAGAAGTTTTAACAAAGCTTTGGGATCAAAAAGTTTCACTCATACCTTTTCTGTGCATGATATACTGATGATATGTGACCAGTTATTCATCTTATGGATTAAAATACTGTTTCTTATCAGACCGATTACTTTATGTTTAGAACATTCGACGTTCAACTAACTGCTTGGGCGTTCAGACTTCAATCTACATACTTTGTTTTAAATATCTCATTTACAATATTATAGTTATCTAAACGAATCCATATTCGTTGGATAAGGTTAAAAAGATTTCGTATAGGGTTTTTGACATTATTTCGATAGTGCTTGTGCACCATACTATCCATTTCCTGTACTTACCATGTCGTTTTTAGTGTATAATAATCCCCACTTACTTTGTAATCCGTCATGTGGCTCAGTTGTATGAATATTTTATTCTTGTTAATATTTTCGAAATATAGTGTTCAATTTTCGATTATGTTCTTATCACTTGAAGTTTTCAAATCAGTCGTATAAACAAAATACAGAAGTTCAGTTCTCCAACCGACTTAATATAATGTAAGACATCTGGTAACTAACTCGGATGTTCCTCGTTTCATCATCTCAACGTTCTTTACTCCTGTCACTTCTAACTCGTTACTCGTTTGTCTGTTGTCACCAGGAATTTATTTGGAGTAAAACGAAGCATAATAATCCAAATACTTACATACGCCTATTTACTAGTTTCTGTTCACGAAACATGTCTTAGAAGTTTGATACTAACCAAGATTAGGCGTGCGGTACTAGTCAATTATCCCAAATCGATTGAAAAGTCGTCGATTTCATCAACTGTGGTGGTCGGGACGTGTATTAAGTGCCTCAACCGCTTACCTTTGTTAAGTCTTGAGTTTAATTTTTGGTTCGTACCTTATGATCTATCGAATTCATCCTCTCGTTTCACACAGCTGTTTAACGTTTCTAATGATTATCGATAACTGCCATTACTTGAACTCGTGCTATTTATCTTAATTTTATCATATAGGCCTAATGTGTTATTGCATCTTAAGCTAATAGTCAAAAACTAGGTAACCTATCTCAGAATCGTTTGAAATGTCTCAGGTGTATCCACTCTTTGTGTTCCCTTACATCTCGGGTTTTAAAAATATTTTATACTTTTTATTCTGTAAATTCATCCTTTACATATTTTATCTTCTGTCCCTAATTTTTTTTACTACTATTCATCCTGTTGCTGTTTTACTGTGTCATCTTTTTCATGTCTGTCCTGATGTAGTGTGTTGACTTGGACTAATGTAAATTCGTGTCAGTCGCTACGTTGTTTATAATTAACTACATCGGTTAAAATTTATCGTATGCATAATTCGCATTCGGAATTTTTTGTTTCAGATCTTATCGTTTACTCAGTTATATGAGATTTTACTTTTAAATTGTCTCAAGTAGTTGACTACTGTTCAGATTCACCGAAATTCGTTCAAACAACAAGAACTTTGCGTTTTTCCTGTCAATTGAATATACTGTGTATGCATAACATTTTGTTTTTTCATACACGTTTTCCTTTGTTTACTTGAAGCAAGCAGGAACAAAGAACTAAACAGTAACATATATTCATCTGTCGCATCACATTCCTATTAGCTACAGAAGCAAAATTACAAATTAGGTTGGAAGTTTTGATATATGACCAGTGAAAACATGTGATTGGGCTTCAAGCAAAGATAAACAAATACTGAGCTTACTGATAAATGAATTCCTTTTTATTATTGATTTTTACTCCAGACGTGATATGTATGGGGAATAGTGGTTGTATTGGATAAATCTGTTGTCTAAGTTGTACTATGGTTCTCTATTCTTAGTCGAGAATCGTATACATAATATAATGTGGTCCTCAGTCTTTGCATAGCGTATCGATCGAGTATCCAGTTTACTCGTAATATAATTTGTACATAGATCGTATTATATTATCTGTGGCATACAGAAAATGTAATGTCAAAGTTAATACAAACACATCTATACAGCATAGCAAACATGCAAATAAAAATAAGTGTCTAAGTAATATATTGCAAATATATATCATGTACAGAGACATTAATTTAGTAGCAAAGGACAAAAAAGCTAGGAATAAGTGGTTGTGCAATGAAAAAGCACTACTGACAATTAACAATAACTTATTGTCCTGTGGTTTCATCTGTGTGATCATGTCAACAAATACGATGGCAGTCCAGCACTGTATACTGAACACTACGAGATGGGTGTAATTTTGTAGTTCTTTTGCATATTCAGTATACAAATAATATAAAAATTTACTAACTGACTACAGGTGATATAATGGATAATTCTCTCGTCCTCAACTTTGTTTTATATAACATCACATGTTTATATGCGTTCATCCACTCGGCTAATTTAATTTCAATCACACTTGTGGGTTTGTTTTATTTCAAGTTTCCTCATATTTACCCATTCTATCATAATATAGAGTTTCTTTTTTAATTGCAGTCGAACACCCATGTCTGTTGTCCCTCAGTATGATGTCTCTGATCCGGAATCTATTGGTAAGTAATTTTGGCTTTTAACACTATTATTTTTAGGACCTAGAAATCCTTCTCTGCCAAGAGATACATCTCAGAGGCAGTTTGATATACCTGGACCAAATCAAATATTAGATAATTTCAATCGTGTTTCACATAATTTATCATGTGAAACGTTTTCTGGTGACTCAACAAAACAATCCCCCATTTCTCTGGATCCTAATAATGATCTCATCTGTAAAGATGAATGCTTAATAGGACACTCTGTTGTCAGTAGAATTATTAGTAATGATGAATCATTTGTACCTCACATAAAGAAGGTTAAAGTTAAGAAAGAGAAAAAGCATAAGAAGCATAAACACAAACATTCTGACAAAAGGTAACTATTATTATTTACTTTGTTACATAATAATATATTAGGGCTTGTATTCAACTCGACGATTCAACTAATCAACTATTTATGAATCCAGGTGACACAGTATCTTGTTCTAATATTGATGTATCTGATAAGAAGCATGCAAAGAAACACAAGAAACATAAGAAACATAAACATGGAAATAAAGAAGACAAGAAACAAGTTAACTCAGATGTAAATTCGTCAGTACAATGTATAAGTCTAGATAAAATCAATGTAAATGAGCTTAGCTAATAAACTCTTCTAGTTCTTTCCATGTACATAGGTTTTGAAGAACATGTATATAATGTCTAGATTATAATGATCAAGTTTACGAATTTACTGGACTTCATAATTTTAAATAAATTATTTTTTATCATGAATAAAGTGTTATTCTTTCATAAAGTCGTTTTGTGTACCCATAACCTTAAAAAGTAAAGAAGGATGAATAACTTTTATTGGCAATATTAGTTGTGATTGTTTTGAAGTTTACTACAATAAACTTCGGATTTTAAAATATTTTTTATATGAGAAGCAATAATTTAACTCATTCACCGGGTAGTTGTAAATGAGCCACACTCCAAGTGTGAGGTCTATTGATGACACTAGCTGGTTGCCTAAACTGAAGTAGGTTGAGATATTAGAGGAAGAATGTATTTGTAAAATCTCAGCGAATGACTTTGAAGTAGGTTGAGCCTAGTTGGAACTTGAGACTTGACGTCTGGAATTCGACTGCCTTAACTACCAAGTTGCTGCTCGTGGATTGTCATATGAAGAATAGTCTATTTACCATAATCTTGGATGTTCTTGTTTCGTAATCTCCGTATAATAATATGAGATATCTGATTTATGTGCGTCCTGGTTAGTTTTGTGATGAGAATTAGTAATGTTAACGTTTTCCGTCAGTTTCACTTTTGTTTCTGAAAACTTCATGGAAGCGAAATGCCTTCTTGTGAAAAAGCGTAGATACTTCAAACGACTAGTTAGTATTTTGTTTACTGAATCAATATTAACAACATACATCTATTAACCGATCCCCTCTCGTTGTTGTTACAACCACTATTTTACGGAAATTCGAGCAGAATAAGTAAAAAGATCCTTCCTAATCACTACACCGTTGAAACCAGCTCTATAAAATGCACACCCTGAATAGTCAATTCCTAGGAGGAAACACTAAAGACCACATAAGGTGTGGCTCACTGTTAAGTATGCGACTTTGTACATGGTAAATGGGTTACTTCATCAATGATATCTGTAATTATGTAAATGTCTAGATTTTCCGATGTTTCTTCTATTAGAATAAACCTTTGAAATTCTTTTGTTTTCCTAATAGTTAAGGGATGTATTAATAGTCATTAGACACAAAGTACATGTTTCGTAGAAAGACATTCTAATGTACTTTCCGTATAACGCTGATGCTTAAATTTGCATCATTTTTTATATAATTGAACTTTCATATATTAGAGGGTCTATCATTTTCTGTTCATTCTGGATAGGTACATACCAAGTAGTACTCAGTGTTTTAGTCGTGGAGACGAAGTTTCGCAATTGAATTTGCTCCATAGAAGAACCATGTCCTGTTATTCGTCAATGTTAACGCAAAATAGTATATTTTTTATTACGGCTTATTAGCATTATATCTTTCGGGAAACTCAATGATTGTTATTCGTTCTTTGTAGACTAGAAAAGTCCATCTAACAGATTTAGCTCCTGTCGCTTGATGCGTTCTTTTAGTAAAAGGTAGGCCTATTGATAATAGTGTAAATGTAACGTTTTTTTACCGCTCGACAAAATCTTATGTGTCTAAAACTTAATTTAATCTTCTTTCATCTACGTGAAATAGGCTTCATGGAATGAACTACTTGAAAATGTAATTTGATGGAATGTTTACAGTGTCACGTCATTGCGATTGATTTTTTTGGAAAAATACTAAATTGTGTCTTAAAAAAACCTATGCATAAACTAACAACTCAGCTAGTCAGATATATATTCAGGTTTAGTAGTCTATTCAAAACACTTAGAAGTTAGGCTGTCTTTTCGCTCGTTTCGATATCAAAGTTATCTTAGTTAGCGTCAATCTTTATTCTTTATTTTGATATTACTTAGTTTTAATTAGTGTCTGTTGTACTGCTCTTGCATTTATTCTGTGGCGTTTTGTATTGTAATACGGGTGCTCTTGTGTATTTTAAAACTGATTTTACAAGCTCTGTTTCTGTGCAGCCTAATTCACTCGTTATTCCAGTTTTTGTTAAAAAAAAGAAAAGATTCGTTGTAAAATCTCATTATAAACTGTACTACTACCACCGATCCTGTCTTTTAATGCTATGAAGCATTTCTAAGTATTCTCAGTGATTAAAGATTTCCTTCTGCAAAAGATGAAATGAAAAGTTAAATATCGTGTTTACCTTTTATGAGTCATTGTACTTTTTATCAGGTTACTTATGGGGTTATGTGTGTGTTCACGTTTAAACAATAGTAGCAACATGTGCAAAAGATGGGCATGTCACAATATTCTCTTTAAATCATTCTCTAATGAGAGCTTTCTTACATTTAAGAAAAAATACTACCAGTATTTCTGTTTATAATTTCAGAGAATTCAATTACAATTTATTATAACGTTCAAGTAGGACTTCATTGTTACCCAGACTTTGATCTAATAGAAATATCAGTAGTTTTGAGTAATTATTGATTTGTTTTATAAGTTTATTGTCTTTCTCTGAGAAATCCTTTCTGAGTGAGAATTGTTTCATAGCTTAGTATAAGTATTGCTCTCGCGTTTATCAGTAAGATTTCTCGTTTCAACTAATAATAAACGATAGGTCGGAGCCACTATTAATTATAAGGTCATTCTGTCATTTATCTGCTTTGATCCAATTATATGTAGAGAGGGACATCATAGTATATATGCGCCACACAATAAAATAAGATTGTTTACTGATAAAGGAAGATAAAGGACAATAAAAAAGGAACGGTGGATTGAAAAGCGTGTGAAAAATACAATAGTAAAGGCAGAACCAGTTCACTTCAGAAAATATTCTTTTAACCTTATAGTCTTAACCATCTCTAGGCTCCAACCAGGGAGTTGTGTATGACCGACGGATACTAGTTATATGCAGCTTTCCTTCGTACCTGACAATATATCTTACACTGACCGCCCTCGCTTTACACTACAAGTCCCAATGTCGACCTACGATGTGTTCTCTAGGACGACATTTTACAGTACAATTTCAAGCCACCGGAGACGATGTTTCGATATGGTAACACGAATTGAATTATCGTCTCTGCATCCGAACACAATTTGCCAAACCTTCACATTTTTAACATTGTGTTGCCGCTGGATAGCAACAATCATGACAACGGAGATCAGAAGCAGCGAGTCATTATCATTCTTAACTCGGAGCAAAACTGACTTTTACAACCCGACTAATATTCCGAAGATAGCTCAGATTGGCATAAGCTGTTCTGGCTTTCACTACGTGAGTTTCCGGCAGTTAACAGGGACAGTTGCCGCTTCCAACTCATCATGCTCCAATCACCAGGCTTCTCGGTTCTTACGCAAGCTGTGCACAATTTCATTATGTAGTGATCTATGTCCGTCGTCAAACTCCGCAATGACCGGCGTAATCCGACGTGCCTCGACCAGTTGTAAGGAGCGTGTAGAAATCTAGTGCTTACTAGCCGAACGTTCCACTAAGCCACAAGCGGCTATACTTGCCATGGTGTCATATAGATGTACTCGATTCTCATCCAAACTTTTTGATGCGTCGATAGCTAGCCTTGAACACAGCTCGGTTGAAATCAATTTGCTCGTCGATCCGTTTCAGAAGAATTCGTATTCAGTGGTTTTGCTCAACGTTCGGCCAGTTAGTGACCTGAGATCGTTTAGATAGGACAGGATTTTGATCATAAGTGAGCTCCTGTATGAGTTGGGAAAGCAATATAATCTAAAATAAAAACAAATCCACACAATTGTCGTGAATACAATTTGAGCCAGAATACTTTCTCTATAGTTGTAATAATTTAATTTTTGTTTCGGCTAGCATGCTGCCCAGGTTTTTAGACCGAAACAGGTGGTTCCCTAGGGGGTAACCCCGTGAGTATTTGTCGCACAGGTTGAGTCCATGGGGCAATGTCAAGTGATACGGTCCGGTGGTAGTCAATAACCAACGATAGGTTCATATGTCATTTGCTCCGTAAGGATCCTGGGAACTATGTTCACCATAAGTTTGTAATACGTGTTCACCAACTACCATAGGTGGATTTTGAGTACCCACCAAAGCGGTCCAAGCTCCTGACGTTTGTCTTTTCATCCTCTCGATTTTTCGTAGGCAACACCGCCGCGAAAGGTAATGAGTTCTACTTCCTTGGATGTATACTTATACATGTAGCTGTATGATTGGATTCCCAGAGGGAGAGTGGACTCTCCAATCTTAGCGTTTCGTACCCGTTATGTGCATTAGTATCTAAGTTTGGAATACACAAAATCGATCTTTCGCACCCCTTCAAATGATATTTAGTACGCCCCAGTTTATGCAGAAATATTAAGAAATCATATAATCTTGGAACTACCTAAAGCTCGGATTGATAAAATTGTGGTTCCTGTTGAATATGCGTTATTTAAAGAAGCTACAACAATAAAGGAGCTCAAGGTCAAGAAGATTTTGCCTATAATATTTTAAGATCTTACACAGAAGGACTAACAGTCCTTAATGAATTATATTTCCACGAAACTCATGTAAATCTATTCATAATGATAATAGAACTGGGAAGTGATAAGCTGTAGTTGAGATTTTGAATAAACGTAACTGACATCGTTTATTACTGAATATATAAACACAACTCTGCACATTATTTATGGATTTATTTGGTAGTGTCTGATTCATAAATAACTTCATGTTATCGACTTCGTGTATCCACGTTATCTCTGGGGGATATTGTTTTATTAGCTTATGTCACGAAATGCATGCGAATTTTCTTACATGATTGTGAGTGTTTTATTTAGATCACTGAAACAAAACACTGAACGAACATGTGGAATGTTAAATGAAGGTTCTGGTTTATGATGAAACCTATTAAATATACTCTTAATGAACAAACAATTGTAAATAGTGATAACTACATAAGCAAATGATGTATGAACCAAAGCTTATCTGGTCGTTTTAGTAACGAACAACCAAGTTCATTAGGACTCTATAAAAGTATTACTATCATTATTGCTATTTATATCAAACATTTTTGACATTTATAGTTAATAAGTGGATATATTGCTTTCAAAAACCCTTAATCATTGCATATTATTGACCATAATCCCTTTTCACAACTTATCATATTCAATATGCCAATTTTTCTGAATCTAATATCAATTACCGTTAAAATCTAAC